TTTTTTTAAAAAGGAAATTAATCCGTATTAACGATATAAAGAGCTAACAAACTAGTCCATTATGGTAAGTGCTGGTTTTGTTTCTGATCAGTTAAATATCTTTTAAATCTCTTTATAATTTAACAGTAGTCTGAATAAAAGGAAAAAAAAAACAGGCCAAAGGTAAGAGATTTACACAAAACAATGAACGAGTTCTACTGTGACTACAATCCTTACAAAAAGGGAAGAAAAAGTGTCTCAGGGCCCTGGCCTATTTTAGTCTCATTCACACAGCACCGTCCCCTTCTTCAAAGACACCTGTTCTCTCCATTGTCCTTCACACGCACACACACACACAAGCACACGCACACGCACACGCACACGTGTTTGGAGGTGCTGCTCCCTCCAGAGGCCAAACTCCCCGGTTTCTGGAGCTGGCATGTTCCCAGCACAGCACAGGCTTCAATGATAGGCCTGCCCGTCCGCATCACCGGCAGACACGTGTCCTCTGAGGGCAGGGTTGGGGCTGCTCGTCTTGCTAATGTGTATCCAGGGCTGAGCATGGTGTCCTAGAGCCTTGGAAATGCTGAGCAGTTGAGAAGCTCAATGAGTATTATCATTGCTGCCTCATCCCCAGAGCCCAAGTCCTCCATTTTTGGGGAGGGAGATTTTTGCTATAGCACGTGTGTGCTTGCTACAGAGACAGAGAGAGACAGAAAGCGAGAAATCACCCCCTGGCAGGGAGGGCCACGCCGCAATCCTTCTCCTCCATTCTCCTTTCAGGATTGTGAGCATGCATGCACATTTGCCCAGCGTGAGTTTTAAGTCGTTGGGTCCAGGACTCGAACTGCGGTCGACAATGTGGGAATCCAGCAACGTAACCATTAGGCCAACTACTGGTCCCTCTCCATTTACTCATCGTGAAGGATGTCCCATACCTTTTCTAACTGCCATTAAGTAAAAATCACAGGAGGCATTGTTTGCACTAAGCCCCTACTCTAGGCCCCAACGGACCGGACCCAAATGGAGCTGCGCGGGCTGAAATGCCACATCCCGGAACTGAAACCGCCAGGAGGCTGGATCCCAGAACAGACTAAGTTTTCTTGAAAACAAGAGAAGCCAGTCTCCCCAAGACAGCACTGTACGGGGAAAAGAAAGAATCGGTATCTTGTGGCTTTCTTCGGAGTGAGAACTCTGGGTCCAACCCTGCTGCCAAGGTCTGAACTGCCCCTGGGACGGCTGGAGGCACCCCAAGCGGTCACTGCGCCTCTGTGCCACCATGTCCCACCGCCTGCACCTGGGCCTCCTTCGCCTTCTGCAGTGCTTGCAGCAACGTGCCAGGCTCATCATCTTCACACCCTGCTTACGATTGAGCAGTGACCCTGGGGACCACGGGGCACCCTGCTGCCCTCACACAGAATCCGGCCTGTCAGCGCCTGAGTACAAGGCTCCTGGGTATACCTCCTCGCCCATGGCAGGCTTGGACACAGCCATGCACCCCCTCCCGTTTACAGCCTTGGCCTTTAAAACCATCCTGAAGCCTGGGAGACCTTGGTGCACAGTATTTAGGACAATTTGTGCAGGGTGGGGCCTGCTCGCCATCTTTAACCCCGGCCCAATGAAGCTGTGCTTTACTTACTTTGCCTCCACATTGCTCTTAGGTCGACGCTGCTCAGGGGAAAACTGGGCATTATTACCACTAATTTTTAAATTCAGAGGACACATGTGCTTGCCAGGGACAGAGACAGGAAGGGAGAGTAACCACCAGTGGGGTGCGGTCACGCTGCAGCCCCTTCTCCTTTCTCTATCCTGCTGAGAGCTCAGGCATGCACATGCCAGGCCTGTTTTTCAGGCCGCGAGTACCTAGATGTGAACTGCAGTCACCCGGGTGGGTCTGGCTCCTTTCACCACTAGGCTACAGGCCTGGTCTGAAGTTTGTTCTCGTTTTCTGAGGACCACACTTCCAAAGGCGTTAACAGCAACTAGATAAGGAAATGTTTCAAATCTATTTCAGAATTTCCCGAGTCTTCTCTCCCCTTTCCCTATTCTCTCATCTGTTGTCTCTGAAACAACACAGATGACTTCTTTAACTTGATGGGGGAGAACAAGAGGATGCTGTCGGCCTCTAACTCCCGAAGGACACTCACCGCTAAGAGTACAGTGTCAGGCCAGCTGGCGGCATGGGGGTTAGGGTGGGAGGTCCCACATGGCTCAGAAAACAAGCCAGGCATTCATACCCAAAGCCCGAGAAGAGAATGGGGTAGGCACTGTAGCATGGCCATCCCTGGGGGATGCCTTCTCACTTTTCCTCCAGCGAGTGCATGCGCCCCGTAGCTCTTTTTCTTTTAGAGAGATATTTTTGCTATAGGGCACATGAGCTTGCTGGAGAGACAGAGAGACAGAAAGTGAGAAATCACCCTCTGGAGGGATGGCCATGCCACAACCTGTTTTCCTCCATTCTTCTCTTGGGATCTTGGGCTCGCAAGCACACGTACCCGGTGTGAGTTTTAAGCTGTCAGGTCCAGAACTCAAGCCATGGTTGACTATATGTGAGTCAAGCAACATAACCATTATACCATCTGCTGGTCACCCCTGTAGCAAATTTAAAAGAAATTTTTTTTTTAGAGGTTTTTGCTATAGGGCGCGTGCACTCACCATACGGAGAGACAGAAAAGCAAGAAATCCCCCCCCAGGGGGATGGCCACGCCACAATCCCTTCTCCTCCATTCTCCTCTCGGGATCTTGGGCACGCACACACACACATCCAGCATGAGTTTAAGCCACTGGGTCCGTGACGCGAACCGCAGTCGACTACGTGGGAGTCCAGCGACATAGCCATTACACTAACTGCTGGTCCCCCCCAAAATTTTAAAGAGTATAGTGTACTTGGGGCCAGTGGGTAGCGTGGTGGTTAAGGGCACTGGACTCCCACATGGTAGACTGTGGTTCGGGTCCCGGACCCAGTGGCTTGCTTTCTCATCCCCTCCCCCCTATTCTGCCATTCTCTGATCAACTTAAATAGATAGAAAAATAAAATAATTACTTTTTAAAAAAGAAAGAGTAAAGTGCACTCTGCACTACTAGAGTGTGTGCAGCGTGCCAGGGTGGAGAATAACCATTTACCCAGAGTCAACCTCACACTCAGCCCCCAGGAAGCGATATGAAGCCACTTATGTCCACGTGTAGTTACAACTGCTCCCACTACTGCTCCTGTGTGCCACCTGTTCTCCCACTTTTCCTCACACTGCCCTAGGAGGTATCATTAAGCCTCTTTCAGGGCCAAGGAAAGGGCTAAGAGTGGGTCCCACGCAGGGATCTAGCTTAAACTCCTAAAGTGCCTTTTTAAGTGGCTGGAAGAAGTACTCAGAGGGAACGGTCTGAATTCCTCTCAGCCAGGGGTCCTGTGAATGGTGTAGGTCTCTCTGAGATCCAGGGAAGAGAATCACAAAGCCCAGGGCCTTCCTCTGGCCACTTAGCAACACCATTCATTCAGCCTCAGGGGACCAAACAGTGCCGATGGGCTGGGTGTTCCTTCAGTCTCTCCTTAAGGAAGTTCCCTTCATCGTAATACCTCCAGGCCACTTTTCTCAGAACACTCCTAATTTAATCTCCAAGTGAAAATTCGAGGTGACACAGACAAATCCTGACAGTGTAATTTCAACACTGCCTTAGCGCACAGGCTGAACCTCAGCAAGAGCTTTTGCTCGACTCACTGTAAAATGTACGCTGGAACATCATGCAGTAAGCTCAGGACTTGGGTGAATTTTCTTCTCAGCGTCATGAGTCTGTCATGCTGTGCATGTCTGGCTTGCACCGTCTTCAAAGCAATGACAGAGCTGCTGTCATTGTGTCAAATTTTGCAGACAGCCCTTTGAAGGAGCACAGGAATTCTTCACAGGTGACATGTACTTAAGCACTCACATGCCGCCAGTCAGAACTACAATGCCAGGGTAAAACCCCTTCTCTGCAGCCCTCTTAACCAAGTACCATTTGGCTTAGAAGACACACACGACAGAGATTTAAGGGTTACGGAGGGAAGCCTGCTCTCCCCAAATCGCCCCTCCATTTTAAGCGAGAGTTAAGGAGGCACACGAAGCATTTTTAATTTCACATTGCTCTAGCAAGTACAATTTACTAAAACCCCCAAACTACCTTGGTGCTCTAGTTATACGAAGATACACAAAAGGACCGATTATCCCCAAAGCACACCGCTACAGTAATTGCATCTTTTCAGAAACTGGATTTCTTTTAAATGAGGAAGTCTACAGAGAACTCCCCTTGCCAATATGACCAGATGCATTAATACAGGCAGCCGTTGCCTTAGTGACAAGACACTTTCCAACGCGTCAAGGTCTCTCAGGTAAGTTCATGTAATGGCTGGCCGTGAGAGCACGCCTCCGTCCTCCGTGCCACCCCACCGCTCCGAGCAACCTCAGGCCCCCCAGCTCACACAGGGGTTCTGACAGGCGCTCCCAGCCCCGCATCACCAGCAGACAACAATCACAACCGCCTCTTCGCTGAACTTCGATACATTCACCAGCCAGGCCATGGATTGTCTGCACATGACTCTCAGGAATAACAGTACTTCAAGCTTCTTTTTTTTGGAGAGGTTTTTGCTATAGGGCGCGTGCAGGGCGCGTGCACGAGAGAGAGAGAGAGAGAGAGAGAGAGAGAGAGAGCGCGAGAAATCACCCCCCAGGGGTGATTTGACCACGCCACAATCCCTTCTCCTCCATTCTCCTCTCGGGATCTTGGGCACGTACGCACACGTGCCCGGCATGAGTTTAAGCCACCGGGTCCGGGACTTGAACAGCGGTCCATTACATGGGAGTCCAGCGACATAGCCATTACGCTAACTGCAGGTCCCAGTACTTCAAGCTTCTGAGAGAAGGGGCGCCCGCCCATCACTACTTGCACTATTGCAATAACCTCAAAAGCACAGGGGTCTGTCCTAGCTCTTCACCCACGCGAAGTGCCCCGGTGCAGCACGCTGGAGCGCACGCGCACGCGCACGGCCTTACCTCTACACCGAGCACTGCGCGCAGACGCCGCTGGCCGGGACAACCAGGGGGTCGAAAGAGACGAGCGTAGCGGGTGTTTTCATGCAAACCCGCCCCTCCCGTCCCGGCTTTCCTCCTTACTGCATTTTTGTCGTCATCTTTGGAAACTTTCTGGCTTCGAGTTGTTAGTTCGCCGCCACCTGCTAGTCAAAAATCACTTCTCCCCGACAGCCCTGGAAGAGAGATCCTCGTGCCCTCCGGGAAAACGCAGTCCGCTCTCCCCTCTGCGCCCCAGCGGTGCCGCCTTCAGCTCCGGGTCCGCCCTGCCAGCCCTGCTGGAGCGCAGCCCGGTCTCCCACCGCACCGGGGCTCGTGGGTTCTGATCCCGTCTAAGTTCCAAGGTAAGCGGGTCGCCCCAGGCGACGGGGACCGCCAGGGACGGGCAGGAGGTCACCGCGCGCCGAACCCCGCGCTCCGGGCGGCGCAGCGCCCCAGGGCC